ATGGGGCAGGGGGGAAAGAGGAGCAGCGGTGCTTGCTGACGCTCAAATACAGGTCTTCCAATGGAAGAACCTGCCGCAGGGGGAGGCCTCTCGGCCCCCATAAGTCAAACTGCACAGAGTCACAGTTAGTCGTCGTCATCGTCATCATCATCATCATCGTCATCGTCGTCATCGTCATCATCATCATCATCGTCGTCATCGTCATCATCGTCGTCATCATCTTCAGTATTTATCTTCCCAGAAAGCACGTCCTCTATCCAGTCTTCCAGCTCCTCGGCTGTGGGCAGGTCATCATCATCTCTGATCTCCATCCAGATGCTGTCAGCCTGCAGGGACAAGTGATGGGGGATTAGCCACCCTCAGAGACACAAGGAAGAGATTGGGTTCAAGCTGTTTTGTGGGGGTAAGGGTTGGACCATGGGTGGGATGCATGAGCGGTGGTGGCAGTAGCTCCCTCTCTGCCACAGTCTGTGGGCAGATTCAGCCACAGTCTCTCTCTGCCCATGCGTTGGGATTACCACTTCCCCCTGAAGTGCTGTCGCTTCTGACTAGGGGCAGTGGGACCAGTCAATGTGGTGGTACCATGTGTGGTACTGTTTGCCCTGGGTTAGATGTGTGCCCACTGCCTGTTCCTCTCCTGCACTGCCTACACCTGATGCATTGTCCTCACCCTGTCTGGCAAGTTCTGTAGACTCCAAGTCTACATAAAGAGAGACGTAAAGAGACCTATGCCAGCAAGCCCTGCATCGCCTCGGTTCACAGGACATCACAACGTTTCCCTCCTTCCTTCCAGAGCCCTTCTGGGACCTCTTCCTTTGAACCTTTACACCCTGCCTTTAGCACCCCTTCTCCCCAGCCTTTTTCTACCATCACCTTTGCCTCAGGATGTTGCTCTGGACTCTCCATTTCGGAAGAGCCTTTCCTCAGATCATCTTAACCATGCTTCAGCTGAAGAATGGTGAAAAACACCCATGCCCTGGACTACCAGTGCTCCCTGCTCTTTCTTTCCAGCTGACTACATTACTACCATAAACTGGAGGGGATGAGGTGGATTCAGTAAGAAGATGGTGCCTAAAAAGTGGTGAGAAGATGCTGTCTAAATTGTGGCTGTTACCCAGGGACAGGAAGCGTATCTTAGGTTGTCCCTGAGGTTTTCTGAAAGGTTTTCTCTGTGCTTTGCTCTAGGTTCCTTGGGTAAATGCTTGGGTAAGCCCCTTTCCCTTCACTGTCTCCCCTCCATAAAATAGGATCAGCCTCCTGTTCTGCAGAAGTGCTGTGAGGTTATCTCATTCAGCATTTGATGTTGCAGAAATGAGTGCTTTTCACATGTCAGAAGATAACTACCGGCTTTTGCAAATGCACACAAATTCTTTCCGTCTGTGGTACCTAATTCTCTGTTTTATGGCTTGCTAAAAAGCCAGACCAATTTCTGCTCAAGGAAAGTTGTTTCTCCCTTACAATATTTTCCTACACCAAAGCTGTAATAAAAAAGACCCACGGAGAGGCATGCAGCTCTTGCTTCATGCAAATGATCTCGTCCCCAACCTCAGGACTGTTTGTGCAGCAAAAATTGACACCTTTAAATAACGGGAAAAGGAGTTGGCCCATTGCACCTACAGAAGATGCTGTGCAAATAAAACAGCAACATTTTGCAGAGGGTCATGACCCTAGTCCTGAGCCACTACAATGTGAAGGGCTAGTGGTGGCTGCTGGGAGCTCTGGTGTTTGCATTGGCAGGTTTTCAGAGAAGTGGTGGGGTCACAGGGGTTATGTCCACCGAAGCCAACAGCAGTGTTTATTTTTACTCTGTTGTGTAAGCCCCACTTTGTACCTGTGTAACTTGGCTGAATGCAGTGATGTAACACTGAAATAATGAAATGAGCTCAGTGTTTGTTTTAGATATCACTCGCCAACCTAGAACTTTCTTAAATCTCTCTCTTGAGGAATAGAAAACAGACTTAAGAGGAATGAAATAAAAAGTGCAAATACTATAATCAACAACCTGAAACATTTACTATATCAAAGATGGATAACGCATGAATTTTTACAGGTCTCTGAATGACTACTGGATAATAAGGCATATGTTCCTGCCTAATACTGCTTTCTGTATGATTCTCTTGCCACTGACAATCCTACTTCCATGAATTTCCATTGATAGCTGTTTAATGTAGCTTTGACATGACTTAAACACAGCCAGCTGCAGTAAATATAATGAAGGGAGGTAGTGCGGACTGGTAATAAGGGCAAAAGGCTGGGAGACTTGAGCTCTGTTTCTGGCTTGTCTGTTCATTTCTCTCATGATCTTAGGTGACAGATGCTATCTTGGCTCTCTTCCCTTTTGTCTCTCCCTTAACAATTCTGCTAACAAGCCTTAACCCAGTGGGTCCTCACTCTCTGGATGTCTGTCCTATGGTCTGGCGGATACTGCTCTATTACCGGTAAAGCACCACTTGCATCCAGCCAGCACCACATCTACTCCGTGACTCCCAAGCCAGCCTCTCATTCCCCTCAAAGGGAGTGATGGCCAAGATCCAGGGCCTCCACTTTCTTCATAACACCACTGCTTTGCCTTCCCTATCACATCTCCAATCTTATGGTCTTGCAGCATTTGTTATAACAGGAGGCACAATTGCCTAGTACACCCTCGCTGTCCCTTTTTTTCTTGGAAGGTACAGCAGAGAGGATGTGGGGGCTGGGATTAAGGTCAGTGGTAGGGCCAGGACCAGTACCCAGCCCTGGACAGTTGTCCCAACTCTAAGTTCTTCTCTGCTCTCTTCTAATGAAACATCACGTTCCCAAGCAGCTGAAGTTTCAAACACGATGTCAAGCACCAAATTACAAACACTTCTGCAGTGGAGAGATTTCTGCTTCCAGAGATGCTTACATACTCACACAGGTTTATTTTAAAGAGACTAAACCGCCCAGCACTTAACCATCAAAAATAAGCTAAGGCAATAAACAAGCCAGGCTGGAGCGTGCCACATTACATGCTCTCTGATCGTCTGGACTGTTACTGTCAGAAAGGGGAAAAATGGGTTTCTCTCCATAGTCATGTCAGGGCCGTGATGCACGCTACATTGCACTCAGCAGCTCCCCCCAGATCTCTGCTCGTGAGGGGGTCAGATGGGTCCCTCTCCCACCTGCTCTAAAAGCTCACAGTATGCAGGTTATCAGTCCCATGGCTTGCTGGCTTGAAGGCAACCATGGTGAAAACAGTAGCTGCTAGAAAGCTGGCCCAACAGCACAGCTATGGATGCTGTGAGTAGCCCCACCACTGCAGCTGTGCCAAAGCAGCACCTCCCTCTGCAGCCCTGCCGACTGCGGAACAGTGTGGAAGCCCTACACTGCCACCAGCCATGGGGCGGACACGTCTCTTCTTCCCACACAAATCCCTCCAGCACAACCCTCCAGCATGGCAGTGGCTGAAGAGGAGGAGGAGAATCTGCATGAACCCCACTATACCCTTTTCACCCCAGCAGGATCCCTGTGTTGCCAGTTTATGTTGTACTTTTATTAAGGTTGTGTATTTATTTGTTTTTTGTCAAGCTGTGCAGTTTCTCACTGTCATCTGTTGGGGACCATCTTTCCCTCCTACACTCAAGCTGTTGCCATTCTGCTTCTGCTGCAAAAACACCCTCCTTTTTCTCCTCTTCTCCTCCCCTAAGCACAGCTTGCTTTACCCGCTACACACGCACTTTTCCTCCACAAACCCACCCAGGTTCAGTCAGAGCAGGGCACAGACAAAGGTGCACACTGTGGGTCAGGGAGGAAATGTGAGACCTTGAAACCAAAATGGGGCAAAGCCCTGAAGCTCAGATCACAGGGGCTGGTCCTGTCCTCAGCAGATGTGGTTTTCATGTGACTTGGCAGCAGAAACACGCTCAGACCGAAGCCCTGAAACCTGATGTCGGAGGTGTTATGAACCCTGCTGCACAGGGAAA